TGTACTAGAACCCCAAAATGGAAGCCCATATCGAAGATGGGACTCGAACAATGAGAAATATGCCATTTTGTCAGAAGATAAATTTAGTTCCTTCGAAACAGATCTTATTGAAAAGCAAGCTGAGGCTAGTTTCTTCCTTAAGGAGTAAGTATGCAAGGACCATTTGAGATCACTGTCAATGAGAATACCTAGAAATTTCACGGAATTTACGATATTGATTTGGCTCTCATTCAAAAGCAAGCGTTGCATGACTCCTTTATAAGATAATGCTACAGTCTTATCCACGTTAAAGCTAAGTAAGTTGGAGTCTGACCAAGCCTTGATTATAAGTAAATCAGCGGTTATAATTGAATGAAGCGTTGAAATATCAGAGCTGCTCCAAGTAATACTGGTATCATCAGCAAATAGAAAAATTTTCCCTTTAATTTTCAAGTAAGTGATGTCATTAATGAAAAGTAAAAAAAGAATGGGACCTAATACTGAACCTTGCGGTACTCCACACTCAATATCTTTACAACTAGAGTCGGTGTCATTTATTCTAACCAATTGTTTCTTACCTACCAAGTAAGTTTTGAACCAGTTCAAAGACACACCCCAAATTCCGTAGAAAGTTAATTTTTTTAATAGAATGTCGTGATTTACGCAGTCAAAGGCTTTGGAATAGTCGCAGAAAACGGTGGCAGAGGAGAGGTTACTGTTTAGTAATAGATATACATCATGTAACACAGAAAATATGGCATCACTAGTGCATTTATTAGACAAAAAGCCGAACTGATTTTGCGATAAAATATTATCATAATATGATTATGAAGAGGAATGACGATGGCAGTCTTTAGGCAGTTAGGGAATGTACCTTTTTCAAGGGAATCATTTACTAGCGAGACCATGACCTCCAAAACATTATGCGGTAGATTTGAGAAAATTTTAATAGATAATCCATCTGTACTACAGGACGATGTGCTTTTTATACTACGAATTGTTGAAATGAGTTCCTTCTTATCAACTGGTCTTAAAAAGAAGGTATCAGCAATGTTTTTTGAATTAGAGAGATAGGAAACTGGATCTTGTTGTGGCGAAATAGTTGAGGTTATATTTTTACTCACATTAACAAAGTAATCATTTAGATTTTCGGGGTTAGGAAAAGAAAAGGTTTGATCCGCTGTACTGGTTTTATTTCGAAAATCGTTTATTATTGACCAAGTTTCTTTTGAAATATTTTTGGAGCTTGTTAAGCGATTATGAAAGTAGGATTTTTTGGCTACTTTAAGTAGTTTTATATAGCATTTTCTGTACTTATTGATATAATCAGAGATGGGGATGCTGTCATTAATTTTTTTTATAATACTTATATATTTTATAAATTAAATTTCAGGTAATTTTTTACACATTATATTGTTATATTTCTTATATTAATTATAATTGTTTCTATTTTTGTAATTAACACTATTGATTTTTATTCTATTTTTCGTACAAATATGATATACAATATTAATATAATCTGCGTTACTGCTTTGATGCGATAAGTAGATTTTTTCATCACTTGTCTTATTAAATTTTGCAATGTTTATTGCACTTTACTTTTTTATTTTCTTTACATACAGTGGTTTAAAAGTTAAAATTTGGTTTATTCATTCGACTTCACTGTCAGCTCTGAACATTTTGTTACAGGTTGTTTGTCTTCATTAATTAAATCAGTCTATTATATAAATATACATCTTCAGAATCACTGTGTCGTCAAACGTAACTGTACTGAGGTTGCAGAATATTTTCTCTTCTACTTATAATAAATAATAATTTTTACTGATTATTCAAGTTGAAAACAATTAATTATTCATTCAATAGTTTTAAATATTACTAACAATTTTCAATCAACAAGTAATTAAATACGTTTATTTAAAACTTTTTTGTTCAAAATACACAAAATATTTTACTCAAAGAAGTATACTTTCTAAAGCTTTCTAAACCCACTACACTGAGACTGACGAAATTTTGGAGCATGGTGCTGAAAATGTTTCCCCTCCACTTTCTTATGTCCATCTTTCAAAAGTATCTTTGTTTCGAAAGGCTGTAAGTTTCAAAAAATTAGATGAAAGTTTCAATATAAATGTGAAAAAGACAGCAAATATTTGATTTCACGCAAACAGCGCCTTTGTATCTGTTGATACGTATTTCGACCTAATAGGTCTCATCAGAACAGTTATTCAAAGGTGTTCTCAACGTGAAAGATCAATATTTCCTGTCTTTTAAGAAGCAACAATAACATGGCTTCGAATACGGACGCACTAGCGACATCTAATTTAACAAACGTAAAATAGTTTCGAAACACAATTCAGATTTCTGCTTTTATCTGTGCTTTCTAAAAATTGCAAAGCAAAACAGACGTTGATAAAGGTGTTAAAAGGGACGTGGGGAATCTAAAATTTGCATTCCACGACACATCTTTTCAACTAAGCAGAAATCCTTAGCGAATTGGTTTCTTGTACTCGTACAGAGTAAATCCGAAAAAAGTGAAAAAGACAGCAAATATTTGATTTCACGCAAACAGCGCCTTTGTATCTGTTGATACGTATTTCGACCTAATAGGTCTCATCAGAACAGTTATTCAAAGGTGTTCTCAACGTGAAAGATCAATATTTCCTGTCTTTTAAGAAGCAACAATAACATGGCTTCGAATACGGACGCACTAGCGACATCTAATTTAACAAACGTAAAATAGTTTCGAAACACAATTCAGATTTCTGCTTTTATCTGTGCTTTCTAAAAATTGCAAAGCAAAACAGACGTTGATAAAGGTGTTAAAAGGGACGTGGGGAATCTAAAATTTGCATTCCACGACACATCTTTTCAACTAAGCAGAAATCCTTAGCGAATTGGTTTCTTGTACTCGTACAGAGTAAATCCGAAAAAAGTGAAAAAGACAGCAAATATTTGATTTCACGCAAACAGCGCCTTTGTATCTGTTGATACGTATTTCGACCTAATAGGTCTCATCAGAACAGTTATTCAAAGGTGTTCTCAACGTGAAAGATCAATATTTCCTGTCTTTTAAGAAGCAACAATAACATGGCTTCGAATACGGACGCACTAGCGACATCTAATTTAACAAACGTAAAATAGTTTCGAAACACAATTCAGATTTCTGCTTTTATCTGTGCTTTCTAAAAATTGCAAAGCAAAACAGACGTTGATAAAGGTGTTAAAAGGGACGTGGGGAATCTAAAATTTGCATTCCACGACACATCTTTTCAACTAAGCAGAAATCCTTAGCGAATTGGTTTCTTGTACTCGTACAGAGTAAATCCGAAAAAAGTGAAAAAGACAGCAAATATTTGATTTCACGCAAACAGCGCCTTTGTATCTGTTGATACGTATTTCGACCTAATAGGTCTCATCAGAACAGTTATTCAAAGGTGTTCTCAACGTGAAAGATCAATATTGGTTGCTTCTTAAAAGACAGGAAATATATGAAAATGGTGACGAAGAAGACAAAGAGAATTTGAATTCAACAAAAATTGTGAATGTATATGTCGGATGTTGGGTATTGGTAAAATATTGCCCAAAAAAGATAAACAAGCATTATGTGGGAATTGTACCAGAAAAGATAAATGACGAGTGGATAGTTAAATTTACACGGCCTCAAGGAAACAAATTTGTATGGCCAATAAATCCTGACATTGATACTGTACTACAACAGGATATTATAAAAGTACTACCAGATCCTATAGTCGACAGACGTGGAATGTATGAATTTCCAGTTACCTTTAAAGGCTTTAACATTAAACATTAACTTAAAGAAAACTTGGAGTGTTTGTTTAATTTTATTATATTTTTGTTTCTTTTGCTCTGACATTGTTTTCAAAAAGTTTAAATTCTTTTGTATTTTTTCACCAAAATAAATTCTAAAAAAATACAAGTAGAGAGCTTGAATTACATTTTTATACAATAACCCCAGAGTATCAAATAAATATAATATTTACTACAAAAATATAAACTTTCTTCACATTTACCCCGGTCCCAGGGTAAATGTGATATATTGACACGATTTTAAAAAATAGCATGCAGCATTAGCAACACTAAAAATTATTAAATTTTTTTCTACACAATGAATACAAAACGGTTCAAAAAGTATATGATTTTTTTGATAAATTTTTGAAACGTTTTTTTACAGTGTTATATTAAATGAAAGTTGAACTAATCAAAAAGTAGATCACATTTACCCCACTTCACCTTACTCTTTTTTCAAACGTTTATTTTATAAATAATTTCGATGAAAAACGCAATATGCATTTAACTTCTGAGATAGTTTAAATCTTAAACAATCGTATGAAATTTGCTAAATGTGTACATCATTCATACGGCAAGTTCAATAGTTTAAATAATTAGACTCAAGGATAAATAAATTAAATAACTCTTAAACTATTTGACCGATTGGGGGGAAAATTCGCACAAATTTAAAAGACGGTAATTCCTCGTTGTTCAAATCTATTATCATTTTATTTTGTTGGTAGAAAAATTAATAAAATGTATAAATTAGTGCAAAAAAACTGCTTTTTTGCAAATATCTAACTAAATTATTTATTAATTTTAATTGAAAAAAACGGAAAAATAAAGATTATATACATAAAAAATGATTTAAATATTGTTTATTTAAAATATAAGGGAAAAAACTTATAGACAAAAAACCAAATTGTGACCATAAATTATTGTTTAAAAAAAAGCAAGATAAAAATACGAGTACCTCTTCATCTATTCGTCATCTAGTAACCCCCACCTATGTCTTAGAAGCTTCAGATATCTGCGAAAAATTTTGCCGTGAAATCGATGATTTTTGCACGTTAAACAGCCATGACGGTTTGTTTTAGTATTAACCAGTTTTAACTAGTTATTTTTCTTTGTGGGAATTTTTTATTATATTATAGATAGAAAAATCCCGAAATTACAACGAAGTGTATATTTTTTTATTGTAAACTTTGTTTAAAAAAATTTCATTAAGTTCTTACCTTAACAAAATTTAATTGTTGGTCGTAAACCTCTTGAACAGGTGCATCTCTTAAACTTTTCAAAAGTTCCTTCTCAGTCATACTTGCTTTTCCATGAAACTTGGCAAACTCAGTGAGTGGGAAGTTTGTTAGAGCCCATGGATTCAACGTCGACCCACTCTGAACTATGGCTTTATGGAACAAACCTTTCGTCGAAGGAGATAGTAGTAAATATTCAACAGAAGCTCCTCCTGCGCTTTCTCCGAATATGGTAACATTATTGCTATCTCCATTAAAATTTTTGATATTTCTTTGGATCCACTTTAAAGCCAGTACTTGGTCTTTTAGACCTGCATTACCAGGAACGTCCAGTGATTCGTCTTTTAAACTAAGAAAACCTAATAGACCGAGTCGGTAAGTGATAGTGACGAGAACTATGTCTTCAGTCATAAGATGTTCTGGACCATATGTCGTAGTTTCGTGAGATCCCTGTACAAAACCTCCTCCGTGAATAAAGACCATCACAGGTTTCAATTTGGTTTCTTCACTGGGAAGCTAAAACATAAGAGTAACTTAATACCATAGTTTTTATTGCTAAAACATGGATAACTAAAATTCAATTACGGAAAATGTTAATTAGATAAAAAAAATTCTACTAAAGTTTTTAAAGTCAATTCAACAACACCAACGGTTGAATGAAATTAAAGGTTGTTTAATCTTAACAATTTGGCCTGAAGTCAGTATTTGAAAGCTATATTGCCTTTTAGTGCTAACCTATATGCGATTGCGTTATGAGTGAGCTTGGGATTTTTGTTTAGTTAGTCCAATTTGGTTAAAATTTAAATAAGTTTTGAGAGATTTTGAGCTATTTGGGCTAATTAATTTTTTTAATTCTTAACATTTTGGTTTTATGAGGGTATCAATAGCAGACTATTGACTGCTTCAGCCGAATATTTGGTTATTAAAAAATTACGAGTAGAGCAAAGATCATTCATTATTATTAATATCATCCAGCCCTTTGCGTCCACTGCTGGACATAGGTCTCCCTCATTTTTGTCCCTTGTGCTCTATCTTGAGTACTTTTCATCAAATTTCTTGACATTTTGGGGGGCTTCCTTTACGTCTTTTGCCTAACCTTAACATCGGTCTCCACTCAAGCAACCTCTTCGTCCACCTTTCTTTATTAATTCGAATGACGTATCCAGCCCAGTTTCATTTCAGTGTGGCAATTCGAGAAATTAAATTATTAACTCCTGCTAGAGCTATCTTGTAGCTCTTGTAGCTGTCAATATCAAAGTTTCGGCATCATAGGTCATCACAGGCAACACACATTGGTCAAATGTTTTACGTGTTAAGGAAATTCGTGTATCGCTTTAAAAGATGTCTTTAAATTTTTCATAGGCTGCCTATGCTAGGTTTATTCTTTTTCGCATGTTTGGATGTCTCTTGTGATCTTTATTTCGTGTCCAAGGTAAATGTATTTTTCGACCAGCTCTACTTCGTTGTCTCCAATAATAATATTTCCTCTATGTACTAGGTTTTTCATCAATTTTTGTTTTGGATATGTTAATTTTAAGACCAACACTGGCATCCACTAACTGAAGTTCATATAGCATTGTACATATCTCCTTGAGATTGTCGAGAACAAAACTTTGTCGTCTACGAATTTCAAATTTGTTAATCTTCTACCGTCAATATTCAGGTCTTTCTCTTCCCAGTTTTTTTACAAGCATATTCTAGTACTGCGGTAAACAGTTGAGACGATAAGGTATCACTCTGTTGGATTCCTCTGCCGATTGGGATATGATCCGTGTTTTTATGGACTTTCACCGACATAGTTGTACAACTTTACCATAAATTTTTACATTGTAAAAACCTCTTTTTTTATTTAAATATTCCTCTTATTTCTATTAACCTTGGACTAGTCCCTCAAAATCAGTCCATTCTCGGCCCTAAACGATTTACAACGAAAGACAAACAACAAGTTCCCTAAAAATAATACAGTCGTCAAGCAACCTTCGTAAGGAAAGGTCCGACAAGCAAGAGCTTGCGACAAGTCAGTTCATTTCTTAATATACACTATTTCTCTATTACCTAGTTTTGTGGCCAGTATTGTTGGCAGTAAATGAGTGTGCTAAAAATAATTAGATGTTGTCTCTATTGCAACTAATATTGCTGTTTGATTATAATCAAACTTATATCTACTTATTTAACCTCTCAATTGTTCTCAAGTCGCGGTGTTGCTATCACGTGTCGCTATCGCGTTGATCCAACAACAGTTTGAATATCATATAAACCTTATCAATTTATAAACAACAAATTTATAACTAATAGATCGAGCAAAAAGACAAGAGAGGGAATCTAATTGTTATGAAAAGGAGACAAAAATTCATAAAAGTGGCCTCTTAATATGGAGGAAACATCCGGGTATGCAAAGACTCGAAATGTAAAGTAGCTATAAAATATTTTTCAGAATGAGTCTTAGACGAGAAAGTTTTAATTAAATAATAACGATAATAATCTAAAATATGACACAATTGTTTAAAAACTTCAATATAAATAAGCTTGCATGTGGCAGTTGGGACAAACAATAACATAACCCAACTAAATTTGATTTCTTAAACAAGGAAAGTGACTTTTTACCTTGTTTAATGTGGCTTTTCAAAATACAACTTCCCGTCTAACAATATTTTCCCCACTACTTTTACATTCCCTCTTCTGTATTTTTGCTCCGTAAACTGATATTTTCTACAGTGCTAAAGGCTATTATTCCGTTTTATAAAGATAAATTTTGACTAATCTTAATTAAGACTTTTACCAATTTAATTTTTACCCTTAACCCTTGTTAAAGAAACAACCTTTCAGGTACTGGATTCCCCAGCTGGTCCTTCGGAGCTAAGGAGTACCGTAGAAGCTTTGTGCGGAAAGAAAAAATCTTCCATCGAACCAGCAAAGTTGTATATCGGTAGTCAATGCGGCATGCTTGTAGTACTTTCAGGATTTTGTCAAATTCTACGGTGTCAAAGGCTTTATGGAAATCTCCAAAAGCCAAAATGAGTGGTCGATTGTATTCGATAGTTTTTTACCGTTTTAATGCTCTGTAGGGGATTATTTGTTCCAATTCCGGTATGAAATCCCGCTTGCTCTATAAGGAGTTTGTATAGGTGAAAGAAGACTTAAGCTACGGTTTGTTAGAACAGTACGCAGCGCACACCAGAAACTGTTGTACTCGACTCACGGCAGTTTCGGGTGTTAGATCATTTCGCATAAATATTCTGTCGCTCTGAAAACAAGTTTAGAAATTGGTTTCAAGTTTATTCTCTCAAAGATTGTACATTTAAAAAAATTAATTCTCGCAAACTTAGTGCAATAATTTTATTACTCCTAGAAGAGGGGAAACAAGAACAGTTGATAACGTTAAATGTAAATAAAAAAAAATAAAAATGTAAACGAAATTTTTTCATGTCTTAATACAAAAGGTGTTTTTAAATTAACAGTCGAAGAAAGATTGTTTCAAAACGAGGAAAAATTTCGAGAATATTTTAGTTTCCAGGGATTTATTTGGAACTGCCTTACAATTTGTACTAGATCCACTAGTCTTTCATCTTCATTGGGAGAAAATTTAGTAGACATTACTTAATTATTATAATAATAATAACTATATAAAAATACAATAAAACACTGAAAACTTTGTTTTCAAACTTCCACAAAATTTATTTTAAATATTATCACTACAGCTGTTTCGGCTGATTGCCTTTCTCAAGTGATCTCAAGATCACTTCGTTCCAAGAAATTATTGTCATCACCTACGTCGTCAAAACTATGTCCTGATTTTAGTTTACGCGGAGTGTTCGCCACGTCTTCTGACATCGCTGTGACCGACTATGACCCACTTTATGTTAGTTTGCACTCAAGTTTAGTAAGCCTTTTATCAGATAGCAGAGAACGTGCATTATATGTTCCTATATATATAGTGTCATCTTATTCAGGTAACCTTTTTTCTGTCTTTGTCAATTTTTGACCCTCCCAGAATCCATGGAACAGACTTATAATTTATCAGTGCAAATTCTGGAAATAATTTTCGACTAGCCTGGGGTATTTAGCCTTTAAACACCATGCTGGCTAGACGTGTTGATGAGTGTGTGTTTCAGCCGCCTATTCTGGGTCCGACGCTGTTTGCGGCCGCCCACTCTGGATCAGGGGTTGTCAACTTCGCCATCTTCGTTGTACCAAAAGTATTTCTTCGTCGCCTTGGATGCTGTTCTGGACCTCATCTGTGACTTTGGATAAGGGACTCTTAGCAGGTGCTAGCTTCCCGGGTCAAGAAGCTCCTGGAATCTACAGAAGGTAGAAATTGATTCAGTTTCCCTGATAGGACAATCCAATAGAATCCAAAGGAATTTCTACTCGCTACCCATCAATGCCAAGAAGTTGAAGAGTTGGAACAAAGACATGATACTTTTAATCTACATAAAAAAGTAAAAGAAGCCGCTGGAATATTTAAACAAACTCCTACGTCTTTCATCGAAGATAAACATGGGAACCCGCTACTGAACATAGAAGATCAAATAGGTAGATGAAGAGAATACGTGGAAGAGATGTTTCAAGACCGAGAGAGGACAAACATTTACATGCAGGAGGCATCAACTGGACCTTATATCACAAAGCAAGAAATTATCAAAGCGGCAAATCAGTTAAAGAACGGAGAAGCTATTGGGGAAGATAATATCCCAATTGAAATAATAAAGATATTACTAGACAAACACATCGAAGTAATGGAAGATATATTTAACAAAATATACGAAACAGGCAAAATACCAAATGATTGGCTGACATCGGTGTTTATACCACTACCAAGGAAGAGAAACTCCAAGAAATGTGAAGACCATAGGATTATTAGCCTGATGAATCATACGTTGAAGTTTTTCCTACGAGTAATACACAATAGGGTATACCATAAACTAGACGAACACACTGGTCAAACTCAGTTTGGTTTTAAGGATGGGTTCGGAACAAGAGAAGCACTTTTTTCAATACGTGTGCTAGTTGAAAGATGTAGAGATGTCGATTCTGATGTATACTTGTGTTTTATAGACTTTCAGAAGGCGTTTGACCTGGTGAAACATGATAAACTAATAAATATTTTAAGGTCATGTAATATCGACGATAAAGACTTAAGGATCATTTCAAACCTCTATCAAGAACAAAAGGCTAAAATCAGAATAAAAAGCGAAACATCTGGAAAAATCAATATCGAGAAGGGAGTAAGACACCTTTGCTGTTCAATGTTTACTCTGAGAAGATATTTCAGAAAGCTTTGGAAGGCACCACGGATGGTATAATTATAAACGGGCAATGTATAAATAACCTGCGATATGATGCTGATGACACTGTCATACTGGCAGATAATGCTGAAGCCCTGCAACGCTTAAAGGACCGAGTAACGACAGTCTGAAGAGAATTTGGAATGAAATTGAATACAAAGAAGACAAAAACGATGGTCATCAGCAAGCACCAAAACAGAAGGGTGAAGGTCAATGTCACAGATCTGGAAAGAGTAACAAGAACAACGTACCTTGGAAGTAATCTTGATGAAACTTGGGACCACTCACTAGAGATAAGAATACGCCTGGAAAAGGCACGTACAATGTTTTACAAAATACAAAAAGTTCTATGCAACCGCCAGCTGGGCATCTCATTGAGAACTAGAATACCTAAGTGCTATGTTTTCTCCACCTTGCTCTATGGTGTTGAAACCTGGACAATGACAGAAGCAACACAAAAAAGAATCCAAGCATTTGAACTCTGGTGTTACCGTAAAATGCTCAGAATATCCTACATGAGCCATACGACAAATGCGGAAGTCTTGCAGAGGATGAATAAGGAAAGAGAGCTTATGCTTATAATAAAAGAACGGAAAACACAATATTTTGGTCACATCATAAGAAATCAAAAGTATGAACTGCTCCAACTTATAATCGAAGGCAAACTCAATAGCAAAAGAGGACCAGGAAGAAGACGCAAGTCTTGGCTTAAAAACCTACGGCAATGGATGAACATGACCTACATAGAACTATTCAGGGCTGCTACAAATAAGATTAAATGGGCAAATGTAATGGCCAACGTCCTTAAGGATAAGGCACCGTAAGAAGAAGACCCATCAAAGACCATTATGACCTTAGTATTATCAAGCATCTGAAATATATCCTGATCGTTTGAAAGTTAAGTTGGACCGATATTTACAAAACAATGAAAATAAAACTAAGCACATCTAGTTCTTTTATGAGTTAATTATTAGAAATTTACGTTGATAGTAAAATAATTTAAATTAGAGATGATGCCATATTGAACGATGCAATAGAGAGAAAAAACAATTATTTTAGTACCGACACTTGGGAAATATGAATACAACACATTGTCGCAGATGATACGAAAATGAAAATCACTGGAAAAATGAAAGAGAGAAAAACCAATAAGGGCGTAGAGTAATATAATAACCGAAGCGATTTTAAATCGGAAATGAACAGACACTTGTGTAAGATTAAGAAGAAGAAAACATCCAAAACCAAAGGTAAAACAAAATTGCTTATATATACAAATCATGTTTCAACTATTAGTATAAAAACGACAAAAATAAGTACTTACTTTCCTTGTAAATACATGAAGAGACAAACAATCTTCTTGTCCAATGTATGTGTTCAAAAGAATGTTCTTTTGGAATGCAATTTTATCTTCTGTAATAACTTCTTTCACTCCTTCCCATGGTTCAACTGGCAAAGGTGCCTAAAAATAAATAAAAATTGTAAAGAGTTAAATAAAAATACCAGCAAGAATTCTTAATCTTGATCGGCACTGCTAAATATATTCTGCCTCATAAAATTTTGTAAATATTTTATTAATGTAATTTTTGAATTATTTATTTTAAAATTATAATGAAACCAATAAAATTCGTGTAAAAAAATTACTTGTGTTATTTACATTTGGGTTACTTTTAGTTAGAAAAAAATATTAGTCTTCTTTACATGCCCAGATTGCTCTTACTAATAATCTACTATATTATAAGTAAAGCTCGGATTATAGGCAAAATGCCTTTTTTTGCCTATTTTGCCTATTATAAGTGTTTTTTGCACTTTTTGCCTTTTTTCGTAAATTCCGCCTATTTGTGCCTTTTTTAAAATTTCATGGTACTACCCATGATATTATTCTATTACTAAACCATTCTATAATAAAATTTTGGGTCAATAATAAAATATCAATGGTTTGTTTATATAATAGATTTCTAGGAAAATGTACCTGATCGAGACTTGAGGGTTAACTATTTGGAAATCCCTAAGCTTTATTAGTTTATTATCAGTTGTACAGTCGGTTACTGTATCAGAGTTTACTCACAAATTAGCAAATTGCTATATCCTAGTTTAGTTTTGTTGCGTATACCGAAAAGCAAAGAACACGTTTTAAAACGTTCAAGACAGTTGTGTGAAAAGATGACATCTAAATTAAGGCTATGGATCGCACCTTATTCGGAACTTTCTCTAGAAGGAGATGGAGCATTTTGTAAACCATGCGGCAAATCGGTAAGTTTTATTTTTTTTTTCTTTTTTTCTCGTCCCACAACATAACTAAATTCTAAAGCGGTTTTAGAATTCTAATTATTTTTTTTTAATTCTCAGATTTCAAGTAGAAAAAAGTACTTTATTGACCAGCATTGTGGAACCCCACTTCATAAACGTAATTTGGAAAAATTAAATTCCTCTAAGTTAGCCCAAACATCTCTGCGGGATAGTTTAAGCAGTTCAAAAAAAAAGGAGGAAGACGCATTTAAATTTGATTTATGCCAGATGATGATTGCATCCAACATTCCTCTATATAAAGTTAATAACCCTAGTTTTAAACGCTTTTTTGAAAAATATCTTAATAAATCCTTACCGGACGAGAGTACATTGAGAAAACATACTGTGGAAAAATGTTATGTGGAATGTATTTCAAAAATTAAGCACGAGTTGGAGGGCAATTTTTTGTATATTATCGTGGATGAAACGACAGATGTATGCGGCAGGTATATAGCTAATTTAATGATTACAATTTTGAACGAAAACTTTGCGAGAAAACCTTATTTAGTTGCCGTTAAAGAATTGGAAAAAACAAACAATTTAACAATAAGTCGATTTATACAAGATAGTTTAACAAACCTCTTTTTACCCAACGCTATACCAGTGAATAAAATAGTTTTAATGCTTTCAGATGCTGCGGCATATATGTTAAAAGCTGCTGTTAATTTAAAAATTTTTTATCCTAATTTAATTCATTGCACTTGTGTAGCCCACGGGGTAAATAGAATTGCTGAAGAAATAAGAAATCTGTTTCCGTTGGTAAATAATTTTATAAATTTTATGAAAAAAGTTTTTGTAAAGGCTCCGTTGAGGGTGCAAATATATAAAGAAAGACTTCCCGGTGTCCCTTTGCCACCTAAACCAGTAATTACAAGGTGGGGAACCTGGCTCGAAGCAGTCTTTTTTTACTTTGAACACTGCAATGAAATAGAATTAGTTATGTCAGAATTTGATGATGATATTTCCGAAGCCATTCGAGAAGCAAAAAAAATATTAAAAAATCCCAAATTGAAACAGGAACTCGGTTATATCAATGACAATTATAAATTAATAGTTACCACAATTACCTTATTAGAAAAACAAGAGATAAATTTATGTGAGTCAGTAAAATTAATAGATAATTTAAAGACGAAAATTAAATCGGCACCTGGAAGTAACGGTCAATTAATTTTTAAAAAAATGAAATATGTTTTCGACAAGAATGAAGGTTTTTCGTTTTTATCTAATGTTGCTAAAGTTTTGAATGGGACATTTTCCGAGGAATTTCAAATTATGCCAGATTTATTATCCGCTCTGAAATATGCTCCAATTACATCTGTCGATGTCGAACGTTCGTTTTCAATGTACAAATTAATTTTAAGTGATCGAAGACATAGTTTTAAGACCGAAAATATTGAAAAACATTTAGTTGTTTCTATTAATGATAAAATTTTAAGTGGTTACAATGTTTAATTATTAATTAACAGTTATTTAGTTACTAGTTTATTTATACTAATGTTATGATTATGATGTGTAAATATACTTGCCTTAAGTTAATATTACGTTAATTTACTTTGTACAATAAATAATAAGTTATATTCCTTTATTGCCTATATTTTGCCTAAATGTTAATATTCCTGCCTTTTTTAATAAAAATCTTTGCCTATATAGGCGCCTTTTTCTTCAATTTTTGTTGCCTATAAATCCGAGCTTTAATTATAAGTTACCGGCCAAACTTTATTGGAGGATTAACTAGTTTCGCCTAGGCTAAATTAGTTCTTCAATACGCGATAGGATGAGTTGGGGTAACTAGTTAATATTGATATAAATACGCACACTCCAGGATAAACTAGTACTATTAATTACTATTAAACTGGGAATAAGCCACAATTAAAGATAAAAATACGTTTATTGACGTTTCAATTTCCAGTTCGGAAATCGTTCTCAAAATACAAACAGTAAATTAAACAAATTTTGTTTTTTGTTACATAGTGAAAAATTCTTCTAATAATTTAATTTTATCTGACTCATTTATATTGACAATTCAGACATACATTATGCATTTTAAAGTAGACGACTTTAAAATGATATTGCCAATATTGTTGAGTTGCGCTCCTGGGACGACTTTACTTATAAGATAGTTCATTCGATTACATGAACTCAACTTTAACTTGAGAATATCCGTCAGAAAAAAATCATAGCATGTAATTCGTCTTTAAAAAGACAAACACATGACATGATGACAGTAAAATTCTCCTGTTAGTGATTCCATAGTAAATTATGAGGGAAAACCAGGAAAAACCATTGGTAACCAGATCCTACTACATTCTGCCGAGGAATTTGCGACACAATTGGCCTCATTTAGCATAATTAGAGCCGCTTCTTTGATTTTTCTTTTTTTACTATCCGTTTCTTTTAGGACTACATTTGAATTATTCCATTGAACCCTATGTTCATTATCCCATGCGTGTTTACAGATTTGAGATCTATCAAATTCTTTATTTTTAATATAAGATTGATGTTCACTTATTCTAACATTTAATGGCCTTGATGATTCACCTAAATAAAACTGATCGCATTCACAAGGTATTTTATAAATGCAATTCTTTGTTCTTTCTTGTTCATTGTTAGGTTTGGTTTTGGACAAAATAGATCTCAACGTGTTTGTTGTTTTGAATGTTGTTGAAATGTCTGAAATGTTGAATGCTGTAGGATCTTTGTCCAAAACCAAACCTAACAATGAACAAGGACAAAGAATTGCATTTATAAAATACCTTGTGAATGCGATCAGTTTTATTTAGGTGAATCATCAAGGCCATTAAATGTTAGAATAAGTGAACATCAATCTTATATTAAAAATAAAGAATTTGATAGATCTCAAATCTGTAAACACGCATGGGATAATGAACATAGGGTTCAATGGAATAATTCAAATGTAGTCCTAAAAGAAACGGATAGTAAAAAAAGAAAAATCAAAGAAGCGGCTCTAATTATGCTAAATGAGGCCAATTGTGTCGCAAATTCCTCGGCAGAATGTAGTAGGATCTGGTTACCAATATTGAAAGAGGAAGTTATTAATAAGAAAATACCAGTATTAGTAAGTCAGTAACATATTTTATAGAGGATACATCATTTATGTTTTTTAAATAACGTAACATATAAAATCAGAATTTTGATGATTGTTGAAGGTAAACTAAATTCACGAACAAATACTTACAATGTCGGGATAGTATTATGAGGTTTTTTTCCTGGTTTTCCCTCATAATTTACTATGGAATCACTAACAGGAGAATTTTACTGTCATCATGTCATGTGTTTGTCTTTTTAAAGACGAATTACATGCTATGATTTTTTTCTGACGGATATTCTCAAGTTAAAGTTGATTTCATGTAATCGAATGAACTATCTTATAAGTAAAGTCGTCCCAGGAGCGCAACTCAACAATATTGGCAATATCATTTTAAAGTCGTCTACTTTAAAATGCATAATGTATGTCTGAATTGTCAATATAAATGAGTCAGATAAAATTAAATTATTAGAAGAATTTTTCACTATGTAACAAAAAACAAAATTTGTTTAATTTACTGTTTGTATTTTGAGAACGATTTCCGAAGTGGAAATTGAAACGTCAATAAACGTATTTTTATCTTTAATTGTGGCTTATTCCCAGTTTAATAGTAATTAATTTACAATGCCACAAGAAAATAGCTTCAGAACAAAATTAGTACTATGTTGACTAAACCAATCTAACCGTGTCGACAGTAATTGTGTCTAAAGTTGGCATGTCAAAAGCGAACATATGATTTTGCGACTAGTTGCCAGCCGTGCGTAAAGTTTTTAGTTACAAGTATTTACAAATGTGTTTTTTTAATATGGGTGAACCTACCTCAAGTCGACAACCATTTAAACCCTGGGCAAAATCAGTAGGCCCAGATCAATACCCACTGAGCTAATTAAATGCATTGACGAAGAAACACTGCATATACTTTTAGATCGGTTCAACAAAGTAAATACAACAGTAGTAGTACCCCAATATTGGTTGCTGTCCACGTTTGTAACACTACCAAAGGCAGTGCATGCGACAGAATGCTCCCAGTACAGAACAATTTCCCTAATAAGCCACACACTTAAGATATTTCTCAAAATAATACATGGAAGACTATACAAAAAAAATAGAAGAAGATATTATTGACACCCAGTTTGGATTCAGAGGAGGACTAGGAACGAGAGAGGCTCTGTTCGCTTTTAACGTTCTCGCGCAAAGACGACTAGGTATGAACCAGGATCTCTGTCTACTTTATAGATTATCAAAACGCTTTTGATAGAGTACGACATCATAAACTCGTAAAACTGTTAAATCAAAGAATGTGGATAGTCGAGATATACGGGATATTGTCAATCTGTACTGGAATCAAAAAGCAAAGGTTAGAATCGAAAATGTCGATACAGAAATAATAGAAATCAAAAGAGGTGTTAGACAGGGTTGCATGCTGTCCCCATTTTTATTCAATCTATACAGCGAAGATATTTTTAAGGAAGCAATATCAGAGGAACAACAGGGTATATCGATAAACGGAAAAATCTTAACCGACATAAGATTCGCAGATGACACCGCTCTTTTTGCAGAAAGTCTAGAACCATTGCAACGCTTAGTAAATAAATTACATCAAGTCAAATTACTTATCTCTAAGGAACATACAGTAGGAAGGCTAGATATAGAGGGAAAACATGTAGAAAGAGTGAATAACTACAAATATCTGGGAACCTGGGTAAATGAAAACAATGACCAAGGTAGAGTAATAAGGACACGCAATGAAATTGCAAGACAAACATTTATTAAAATAAAAACAATGTTTGTCAATCGAGACCTTCCTCTGGATCTGAGGATAAGAGCCTTAAGATGATACGTGTTCTCGACGGAAATGTTGTTTGGAATAGAAAGCTGGACACTAAAAGTGGATAATATAAAGAAGTTGAAATCATTTGAGATGTGGTGCTATAGAAGGATTTTGAAAATACCATGGATCCAACGAGTTACAAATGCAGAAGTGTTAAAAGGGCTACAAAAGGATTGCGAGGTCATAAAGCACATCAAAACAAGAAAGCTGGAATGTTTAGGCCACATTAGCAGAGGAGATATTAAGCCTCATAATGCAAGGTAAAATCAAGAGTAAGAGATCCATAGGAAGACGAAGAATTTCCTGGCTGAGAAACTTAAGAGAGTGGTATAGTTGCAGCTCAATAGATATTTTTAGAGCAACCGCCAATAAGGTACGGATAGCTGTAATGATAGCCAATCTTCGATAGGAGAAGGAACTACAAGAAGAATAATCTATGTAAAAAATACGCGTCAATAAGCTGCAGCAATAAAAAAGCTTATACCTAAGTATTTCGTAAGCAAAATAAATTACCTTAAATCTTAACTCGCCTATGGGCGCTTTTCCGTATGGAATACATAAAAACGAATGAAACTTTTCTCCATTAAGGTCTGTTCTAGTGCCCCCAGAAATTTTTCCCTCCGCTAGTTGTACAATAGGAGCCATGTTTTAGACCCACTATAACAATATACATAAATTCAGTAAGAGCACTAGCGATGTAACCTTGTTTGAATCAAATAAATGATAAAAGTACATCAATTTATATATTCTTATCTGACAAATACCTAATCAATTTTAAATCAAAATTACAGATGATTATAGGCAGGGCGATAAGAAGATATGTGCAGATGACATAGCAAATGCAATATTTACATTAAAAACAATTATAGGGATAATAATAAATGATAAAATATTATTATTTATTTTTAAAATAAAGACAGTTCAGGGTCAAACATGTTATACAAGTAATTTATAATTTATTTACAATTTAGGTCGTTGATAAAAATATGAATACTTATAGTTCGAGTGGTTCGCCGGTAAAAAAGTTTATGATAAAAAACTCTCCAAACTTTGGATATCGCTTCAGTAGGCATGATTTTCATCTGTGAATTTTTTTGGTTTTCTGAAGCGTTTTTTCTCTAAAGACTGATTTAGACTATACTTTTTTTATTAACAGAAAACTATAAAACAAAAAAACTTAAAATGATTGCAGGGGCGTGTGGTGTATGGAAGCAAGGGAAGGATTGCTTCCCTAGGTTTTCGTAAGAATAGCGTACTAGATGAGTAACTGATAATATTTAACAAAAAATAATTTAAACTAACACACATATAATCAGCCTTTTTAAGCTGCATACGAGAATTATGTAGAACAGAGCAGCGAGCTCGTTCCGTATAATCCACGTTCAGAGTTGCTTCTCCTGCCTTATGTAAAAATTACCCGGGTTATGCCACTGAGAAGCGAAGGTTAAGTTGACCGTATTGTCGTTTTATAAGCAACTGTGGCAATTGATTACGAAGTTTTGGCGAATTTAAATTTGGAGTTTGACAATGGCGTCTTCGTTCGATGATTTTGTGGAATTAGCTTATAGTGTATAAATGTGTGGTATGTTTGTTATTGGAGAAATGCTTTAGTTCGTTGAATTTTTTGTGAAAAATGGAACAGAATGAAACAGTTTTTTTTATTATTAAAATATTAATTATTTTTAATTTCTTTTACCCTGTGCGATACGCCGATGATTAGGATTCCCGTGTTTACGATAAGAAAATAATATTGGATCTACTAAATTATAATGGAGTTCCCTAATTACTAAGGTAGTTAATCCTTTCCGTCTTAATACTCAGTATGAAAAGATATAATGCTTTTGGGTATGCAGGTTCTTTTACATAAATTGATAATTTTCGCCGAAGGCCCGTATCTTTTGACAATAACTTAATCCCAAGTATTGTCTGCTTCTCATGTCCAATTGTTGGTACCGGTAACTCAAAACTTTCGGAATTTTTACTTCCTCAGAATTACCTACAACTGTCCGATGATTTTAAGTGGGAGAGATACCTTCTTCTTCTTTTTTCTTGGATAGTTGGTGAAATTTTTAGTGGAAACCAACTTACTTCTCGGTGAGCTCTCGTTGAGCACAGGTCGATTATCTCGTGAGACTTCTCGGTGGCCTCTCGTTGAGTGTGATCGCTTGCCTGAAATTATCGTCTCTGTGAATTATTTTCTAAGTGTGTATACACTCTATATTTCAGTTTTCTTGTCTTAGACTATATTAAGTTATATATAGTTCTACACTACCTTTAATGGTACCTAATTAAAATTCAGTGTTGAATACCAGTACAGTATATTAAATTCAGTGAATTAAGCTGCCGTCATCAGGAATTATGTAAGTTACCATAATCTTTATCTGCAAATTATCTGGGCGAGTAATATGGTATGGTATCATACACCTGCCATTATCTGGACGTATCACCCATCATTCATCCATATCTTCATCTGTAGATTGCCGATTTTTATATTTAATTTAAAGAACAATTCAAGAACTTTCCATAAATAATAACTATAAACATCTCAGTTTAGCATTAATTAATAGTGCGAGATAGTAACCCACTAGCCAAGTGCGGTTTGGTTAGTTAATGTTTTCAACTCTGTAACCTGTTTGTTTTTTTTTGTAAATTTAGAGTTAAGAAATTTTTGCTATCTTTTGTATTTGCTATAATTTTTGCTCATTATCTTTCCTATAATATCTCGAGATACGCCAAACTATATTTTGTATATGATTATCTCGTGAGACTTCTCGGTGGCCTCTCGTTGAGTGTGATCGCTTGCTGAAATTATCGTCTCTGTGAATTATTTTCTAAGTGTGTATACACTCTATATTTCAGTTTTCTGTCTTAGACTATATTAAGTTATATATAGTACTACACTACCTTTAATGGTATCTAATTAAATTCAGTGTTGAATACCAGTACAGTATATTAAATTCAGTGAATTAAGCTGCCGTCATCAGGAATTATGTAAGTTACCATATCTTTATCGCAAATTATCTGTGCGAGTAATATGGTATGGATCTACACCTGCCATTATCTGGACGTATCACCATCATTCATCCATATCTTCATTGTAGATTGCCGATTTTTATATTTAATTTAAAGAACAATTCAAGAACTTTCCATAAATAATAACTATAAGAATCTCAGTTTAGCATTAATTAATAGTGCGAGATAGTAACCCACCTAGCCAAGTGCGGTTTGGGTAGTTAATGTTTTCACTCTGTAACCGTTTGTTTTTTTTTGTAAATTTAGAGTTAAGAAATTTTTGCTATCTTTTGTATTTGCTATAATTTTTGCTCATTATCTTTCCTATAATATCTCGAGATACGCCAAACTATATTTGTATATGATTGCCTTATATATCTTGGCAAAGGTATTTTTTTATTTATATTATTGCTTAATTTTATACATATATAACACCATGTCATAGTTGTGTATTTTTATTACTTGTGTTGCATTTAGCAGCATCATAATTTTGTGTTTAATATATTGTTAATGTTTTATGCATGTATTTTATTTGTCGGCTCCTAACAAGTTCCCTGATAAAATAGTAGCTCTAAATATTTGCTTAGTATATTAATTTGTTACTATAGCTTTGACCAGTAGAAAGATCAGGTGATTAAGTTTCGTAGGTAAGTAAGTGTAATACCTAATATTTTATTATTTGTTTATATATTGTGTTGACCAAATTTATTTGATAATTAACTGTTGGTATCTTTCCTTGGGTTTGATTTGATCTCTGAAGGTTATCTTTCCTTATCTCTTTTCTTTTCTAAGGTTTCTTAATTTTCTCCTTAACCCCAAAAAATTGAGTGGCGTCATGTTTCTATCTTCTCTTATCTTTGGTAATTTTATCCATCTTTATTTTTGTTTATTTCTATATCTTTTCTAATATCTTTACTTATTTCGTCCGTTGGACCCAATCCCGGTTCCAAAAGCTAGTTTCGAACCCACGACTCGCTCTCCACCAACCATCTGGCTACCGTCCGCACTGTCTCCATTGGTTATCTTTCTAGCACCATCCAAAAAAGATTTCCGAGGTTACAAAACAATCGATCTAAAATAATAATAAAAATTACTATTATTATTAATAAAAATAATAAGATAATTGGTAAAAGAAGCTGAGGTATTATTGTTTTTTTAATTAAAGGTAGGTCGAAGCCTGAAATGAAAATCTCACTACCAAAATAAAAAACTTGCCTCCGACATTTTAATTCGGAAAAATCTGACGAACAATAGCGAGTGGCTAACTGGTTGTGAATTTAGGAATAAACTGTTTTGCTAGTGTTGTTTGCTCTTTGTGAATGAAAATGTGTTTGGAAATCATAGTGGTTTTGGCGATTTAAACAATTTTTCATAAGGTAGTGAAACGACATGTCATGTCTAAAGCTCACTTGCAGGCCGTCATCAAGAGGTTTTGGAAAAAATAGAATAGAACACACTTTGCATAATTCATTAAAAGTAAGTCATCAAAAACATAATGAAATTAGTTGATAAAAATAGAGACGTACTGAAAAGATTATTGACGCTGTGTGTTTTTTATGTTTCCATGAAATTGGGTTCAGAGGTCACGACGAAACCAGTACATCAGCAAATAGGGGCAATTACATGGATCTTGTTTCACTAATTTGTAAGTACGATCTTGTTTAAAAACTCATTAAAACAGTCCAGTGTGTTTCAAGGAACCTCAATCGAATTCAAAATGATTTGATTTCTGCTATTTTGATTAAAAAAAAATTGATGAATTAAACAAACACTGCTCATTGAAATTATTTTAGATGAAACAACTGATGTTACAATTTTAGCCAGCTCTCTGCAATAGTTCGATTTGTTAATACGTCAGATATACAGAAAGATTTTAGGTTTTATAAATGTATCAGAATAGAACGGCAGACGCATTATATAAATTGTTTGTGAACTTTTAAAATCGATTAATGGTAATGACAAGTTAATTGCCCAAAGTTTTTGACGCTCTGCGGTTATGCTGCATTGGGGCAATAATGGGGAGCAGGTCCTAGTGCGATATTTATACACTGTTTTCTCATAAACTAACCTTAGTTTTATCCCAATCGGTCATGCAGATTAAAGAATGCAAAGTTTTTTTTGCAATTTTAAGTGGAATGGCTGCTTTCTTTTCTAAATCCTCTAAACGAACTCAATCTATAGATACAAGTGTAAAACGAGCTACCAAAAGTTGCAGTGACGCCAGTGGCGGCCGGTCAGGGTCGGCAGGGTCGGCAGTGTCGACCCACATCTTTATAGATATTATAGATTTTTTTAATAATCAGTTGATGTCATTTGTTTTTGTGAAATAAAAAAATTCTGTGAGATAATAAAGACTAATCTTTATCATGGTTTTTAAAACAATTCGTCCAATCTGAGCGTTAAGTGCTTCCCTGCGTAGACACTTTTCAAATAGATGATTCGATATCGGAGACAACCATGCCGCCTATGAATTCTTAAAAAGGCACGTTTTGTTTTTTCGGCTAGCCGATCCCACCTTGACTTTATTTGTAAAAATCAACGGAATATTTATTGATTAGCAACAAATATACATTTCTTTCCATATGAACTTAATTACCGAGTACGGCAATTTAAATTGCCGATGTTTCATTTGGATTGGTGATTGGTCGCGAACTGCACATTGCGAGCGTGGGACGAAATGTTATTTTATATACGTAGTAAAG